AGAGTTACAAGTCTTTTAATATTTTCACAATGTTAAAACTAAAACCGAGCTCTAGGCTGTGTAAGTAAATCTAGAACACAAAGGGTTAAATAAGATTTCTCTTTAAAGATACAAGAATTTAAGCTTTCCTTACATTTAACAAACTTCACAGAACAGATACTGCAGGGAACAAGCGCCCCCACCCCGCCCCCAGGAAGTGAGGCCGAGCCTGTGTGCTGGGCTCCCCATCGCTGCCTCCAAGCAGCAGCCGGTGGGGCCTGAGGAGGGGGGGCGCTCGGGGCCTCTGAGGGAGCAGAGCGTGGTGGGCCGAGGCCAGCTCACTGAGGATGGTGGGACTGGCCGGAGGCCGTGGCCTGACAACAGTGGTAAACGTGGGCAGACCCGGCCCCTCTGCCCTGGGCTGCCCTAGAGCAAGACACCGGTCTGGGTCCTGAAGCAAGAATTAAGGCTGGAGATTTTGCAGCGGATTCATATTTCGGATTCTGGACCAAAGAACATTCCCAGTTGCAGGTATTACTTGGCAGACAGAGCTGACCTGCTTGTGGTACGAAAGGGCAAGTTGCTGGGTTAAACTTCCCACAGCCTGCGGGCGGACAGATCCAAACTGCCCCTGCAGGAGCGTTCGGCTCTCACCGCCTGGGTGACAGGGGCTCTGGGCCACGCACACCTGCTCGGCTTATCCTGTCTGCCACCCTCCCCCACCCGGCTGGTATGATTCCTAACGTGGGAAAACAGGCCCACCCGCTTCCCCACCCGCCCGAGCTACTGCACTGTCTGCCCATGTGACGAGGCACAGGCTGAGCAAGGTGCCCCCACCTGCTGAGCCAATGTCTCCCTCGGAGCCTGGCCCCGGCCACGAACCACAGTTGTACACAACACACCGCTGCCCCGCGGCACACGCTGCCTCCCTCACTAACCCTGCTGTGTGGCAGGTGTGGACTCTTGTCCCTGGATGACAGGGCTGCAGACGGGGCGAGGCCATCCTCCCCTTGACCCTTGGGGCCAAGCAGGCTCCTGCTGGAAGGGGCAGAGTCTGGGCAGCAGCTTCCCAGGGGCTCCTGTGGGCTATGAAACGTCATTAAAAAACCCCCAATAGAGAACTCGGGCTGCAGAGGCCGATGAGGACCCAGCCGCACTGCTGCGCTGCAATCAGCCTCATGTGATCAACTGCCAGGCCCTGTACTTGGCAAGTGGCACACCGGAGCCGGGGGTCGGGCGGCCCCGGCGGCCTCTCGTGCCTGGTCCTGTGTAGAAAGGTGGTTCTCGTGGACGGACTAGACTTGAGTGGAGCTAATTTTCAAAGGGAGGTTACTGTTTCTCTTCTCATGTGATGAGTTTTTTCATAACAAGTCAGGTAAAAAATTTTGTGAAGATTTTCCTAAGAACCTGCTCCCCCACCCAATGTGCTCGGTGGGAGAGCGAGGCCACCACCCAGCCGAGCACGTGGCAGATCTCAGCAGCCTCCTGTGGCCAAGGCAGCGTGGCCTCCAGGCACCCTGCTGCTGGGACTAAGGATAAGTGAGGAGGTGAAAGGCCGGACATGAACCAGAGTTTTGGCAGAGCCGTGTGCGGTGTGGGGACTGAACACCAGCTTCTACTCCTCGACTAACTCAGAGTCTCCGCCTGGAACCCTTTCCGCTTAAGGCTTTTTGTAAGTTTGACTCCAGCAGTGACAGGTGTGTGTTGTTTTAAATCCACTAGCCATGCTCAAAAAATATTCTTCATGTTTTAATTTTATACAATGGCTAGCAGGCACCTTAGTAACCAGCCAGAAATCAATTCCAACCACCATCAACCCCTAAACTACAGTACCAGGATGGCCGGCTAAAGGAAGGAAACGGGCTGGCTGTGGCCTGACGCGTGCCCGGGAAAGGTGTCTGGCTGACTCTGTCCTAATAAGGCTAACATCCGTGAACTAAGAACAGCGTCACGGGCGGCCGCGGCGGCCTTCACGAGCACCCCTCCCCGATGCGCTGGCAGGAGCGCCCCACTTTCCGGTCCAGTTTCACCATTTTCATGATGGCTTCCTCTCGGCCTCGGCCCATGTGGTCAAACGTACAGTCATGCTGCTCGGGGAGGCGATGTAACATACAGAACACGTAACCTGCAGAAGCGGGAGAAGCAGAGAAAACGGAGGTTAGGGTGGCTTCCAAATGCCCAAAGCCTGGCTCTCACTCTGTCTGGAGGGCGGGAGGGGCACCGCAGTGGGTGGACGGTCACGGCAGAGGCTCCTGCTGCTAAGAGTTTATTACGGAGCCCCTGCCCTCCTCAGCTCAGTGTGATGTCCTTAGAGGCCGACGGGGCATTTGATGCTGCTCGTGCCTGGATGGACCCCGGAGACAGAAGCCAAAGGAGGCTGCTGCTGCGGACACACCTTCCCTCGGAGAGCAGGGGCTCCGAGCTCCTTCCCTCCGGCCACGGGCAGCGGGGAGCAGAGCGCCAGCTCAGCTCTGTCCCTGGAACATCCACCCAGGACACCAGCATTTCTGGGAGGAAGACAGGGAGCAGCCCAAGTGCTGACGTGAAATTACATTCTACCTCCCGTACAGCTAGGGCTTGGGGGATCGTGGGAGAGCTCAAACCATAACCTGCATGTGAAGGGGGCTCTCAAAGGAAAATGGGTTATCTCAGTGCTAGAAAAGGTGTGACATAAAAACAGAGGACAGAACAGAAATGCTGAGCTCCATCATCTCCAAGGGGCCTGATGCTTCTAAACTCCACTTGGCAGGCAGGAGGCTGAGGTCCCGCACTCAGGCTTGGTCCTCTCTCTGGAGCAGGGAGGTCCAAGGGAGACACCGGTGAAGCCGGTAGGAAAAGGGATGGGGAGGGGCTGATGGAGTCCCTCTGATGGGACTAACAAGAGGAGGCTCAGAGGACAGAAGGAACATCCCTGCATCAGAATGTGACTGTTCCCTCCCCTCATCTGATCAACTTCTAGGAAGGCTGGCGGGTACGTGGATGTGCAAGGCGGACAGACACCTGATGTCTCCTGAGCCCTCGCTCTGGGGTAAGAGGTGGTGCTAGGAAGCCCCTGCCAGTGCTGGCTGGCTCCTCATCCATCAGCTGTCTCTCGCCACAGCTCAGGGTCCCACGGGCCTACACCAGGTCCACAGGACCAGCCTGTGGTGCATGTGAACGCACCCCTAAGCCTCCTCTCCCTGGCCTGGAGCAGCCCCCACAGCAGCGCTGCTGCCCCAGGGCTCTCACTCTCCAAGCAGCACCGCTGCTCAGACTTCTGTTCTGAAGCCTAGGCTGATCCTGATGGCCAGGAGGCCACCCCTTGCAAACTGGGAGCCGTTCATCCCCACACCCTCAATTTCTGTTCTTTTCAGAGACAAGGGGTAGAGGCAGTGATTTCAGAAGAACAGCAGAAGTTGGAGCAAAGACTGAATGGCCAGAATGAACGTAAGTTTTGACAGCCCTAACTTTTAAAAATAAACTTCACCCAGAGAACATTCCTTTGCTGCCCTGAGCTCCTGCATGCACAGGGCACAGGGCACGGGGTGCAGGCCAAGCCTGGACCATCCACTGTGTGAGAAAGTGCATTACTCACGGCTCCCAGGGAGAGCTCGGCCATGTTTCACTCTAAATTGGATTGGGTTTAAGGAAAGGAACAGAGATGAAATTTTGTCTCCTGAGAAGCTGAGCTCCCACTTGGTCCAAAGGCAAAGTGAAGATTAATGAGCTCACGTGTTCTATTTACTGATGAGTTCATTACTCGAAGCTATCGAATACCAGCTGCCTTTCTCCTAAGGATTTCCCAGCAGAAGTGTGGACGGCACCCCCCACCTACCAAGCACAGCAATCTTTGTGCAGCAGAGCCCACCTGATGGGGGGGAGCAAGTGTGAGCAGGCATTTTATTCCTAGTGTCTACAGTGAGGGGTGGGAGGACCCCTGCTCCCTCCCTTCCCTTTCTTTAAGATATTGGGGTGATGCAGGGGAATGTCCTAGGGCTTATCTCTCCTGATGAATGGTGCTCGTTGAATAAAAGTAGCAGGAAATGGATTGCCCGTGAAATTTATGTGGACCTGGTTCAGGCTTACATCTCACGAGGCAGACTGGAGCGGAGGGAAGACACTCAGTGTTGTCCTACCCACGCACCCTACCACTCTGCTTAGCTTGCCTTCCAACAGCTAGGGGGCAGCAACTCAGTGGATCTGAGAGCCCCAGGGGTGACAACCACAGCAACTTCCACATATTCTCGCTACCTACCGTCCAGCCCAACACCGCTCATTTCTCTACCAAGTTCTGTGAACTCTATTAAACACACATTAGCACCTGGCACTGCATTTTTGAAAGGTGAAAACCACGGACCAGCAGCTAAGTTTGGGGGTGGTGCTGGTAAGAGGAGGGTCCACAGCATTGTAACTCACTGGGCAATTTGGAAAGCTGGCTTCCCAAGTGGCCAGGTTACTAGAGGCTCAGTGAAGCTCGGTTCCCGCTCCTGTGAGGATCACTCATCGGGAGGAGGTGCCCGCTGGAACTTGTCCCAAATGCTGACAGGTATTACCCACTGACAGCAGCCCATCGACGACGTGCACTGCAGCGTCAGTATTGGGATATAGGAGGGTGGGAATGACTCGGGGAGTGGGACGACCTTTATCCTCGTTTCTTGGTACCCACAGATCTATTTCCAGAAACCAGTGCTAGTGTCATGGAGCACAGGGGATGGCAATTCTGGAGCCTGAGCTGGGTACGGGAAGGTGCCTGCTCCTAACCTCAGTGATGAGCAGGAGAGCACAGGGGATGGCGGCCTCCACCCTGGCCAGGCCGCCCTCCACACCGCTCACCTGAGCCTATAGGGTCTCTCCAGAGAAGGTCAAACAAGGCGTGTCCAGAGGCACAAACACAAGGGACTGGACTGAGCAGCTGCTCTGGCCCAGGCTTTGGTGTTATCACACAATTACTTCCTCTGATTTTAAAGTTACATATCACCTAGTAGGCGTGGCTCAGTGGTTGAATGTCTACCTATGAACCAGGAGGTCACAGTTTAATCCCTGGTCAGGGGATGTGCAGAAGGCAACTGATCAATAATTCTCTATCATCATTGATATTTCTCTCTCAACCTCTCCCTTCCTCTCTGAAATCAATGAAAATATATTAAACAAAAAAAGTTATATGTCAATGTTGAAGTCACTTACTTATTCACATACACACAACCCATATCTATCACTCCCATTAGGCCCCATAGTTCAGCTTCATGCACTTTTCAGGACAAGTCAGTATACTTTTGCTAACGAGAGCTGTACTTGCGTTACCATGCAGTGCTTTGGAGGGATTAGCAGAAATAAAGGGGGGAAGGATATGAGTAAAAGGATGCTGACCCCCAGAGAGAGGAAAACACCCAATGAAAACGTTTTGAAGCTGTGGCCTGCCTGCTAACTGGGGCTGCGCCTCAGCCCTTTCCCTGCCAGGCCACAGGGCCCGTGTCGTGGGGCCCAGGCGACTGGTCTGCGTGGAGCACTGGCCTCGGGGAGGCCGCAGGCAGAGGTCCTTCCCAGCTGCCAGAGGTGTTTCTGGTAAATCTGCACAATACACTCAGGAGCCTGTGCGGGCATGTCTTCGCTCACTGGCACAAAAGCAATTTGGGATGAGCCCTTGACTAAACAGAGAGTGAGGGGAGGCCGCAGCTCTGTGAGCATGTCCCACGGCCCCAGGCTCCGGGCCCCTCTCCGCCTGCCATTACCTGGCACCTGACTGGCCATCGTGGGCGTGGGGAGATGGACACGAGGCCAGACCACAGCAGGTGATACCAGGCAGTGCCCTGGTGAGCTGGGCTGGAATGCCTCCAGAAGGTCTCCAGCAACTACACTCAGAATGAGAGAACCTTCGTTAACTGCGGAGGCAGCAACAGGGGAGGGAGAGAATGCCTGTGCAGACAGCCACCACGGCTGAACCACCAGGGCTCATCCCAGGCCCTGCACATACCTGTGGCTGTGGGCGGCAAGAGGTGAGGAGAGACCAGGAGCTTCCCTGACTGTCATCATCAGAGACACAAATTATGGCATGAGGCAAAAAAGGCAACCTGAGACCTAACTCTCTGTCCCCAAAGGGTCCTCTGTGAAAGAGAAGCGCACACGCCCTGAACAGAGGCCTGCGGGTGCTCGTGGGAGGACAGGCATCTCAGCGGAGGGTGCCGATGGTACTAGCAAGCGTTCTGGACACGGCCGTCCTGACGCAGACCTGGGGCTGGGACCACCGAGCCATTTGCCACACAAACCTGAAGATGCCCAACGTGAGGGCCCTGACACGCATTTCCAGCAGAAAATGGGCCCGAGGCTCATTCTCCCAGGATTCGAAGTTCTGACATGTAGGTTTCTAAAGACGCTCATTTGATGGAAACCAAACTTCTGACCTGACCCTTCAGCTTTTCAAGTGAACACCTGGAAGGCACACAATTCATTCAGACGAGCTCACCCACTGCTAACCCTCACCTCTGCTGACCAGGGTATTCTCAGACGAAGCAATGATGATCAAGAACAATGTGAACAAATGCTGACATTAGGCAGAGATGGCATACACTCAACACCTTGCTCTCAGTGCTTTGAAAGTTGCTGCGATATTTCTGTTTCACTTACTTGTTTACAAAACCCAGCAGCAATGGCTGCCCCAGAGGAGCACCTAGACAGAGGCTCGCCCAGGGCCCGTGGGCAGGCAGGCCTCGGGGCAGCTGAACCACAGCAGGCCTGCCCTGCTGCTCCCTGCCCTGCCTCGCTGCTCCCTCACCCACAGGCCCGGGCAGTGCTGCCCCTACCTTTGGCTGAGGCCCTGGGCCCCCAGGCCAGCACTTCCTTCTAAACCCGAAGAATTAAAGGGGTTAGAACTATCGTTCTCTATGGAATTACCTAAGGGAGACAAAGAAGGGGCACCCAGAATTCACATGCAAAGTCTGAGCCCTTGTCATTTTTATTCGATCCCCCCCAGACTGAAATGTTGCTTTTCGACTTTGTCTTGGATTAAAAAGCACAATTTAAAGTTGACAGAACTGGGCAGCTCTGGACACTTTTGGCCTTAGTTAAACAGCTGTTTCTTTGAAGCGTCCCCCAGTTTGGAGGCCCCCCTTTGAGTCAGGGCAGGGACCAGGGACCAGAAGGCCTCGGCGC